TAAAGTGCACAGCACAACAACAGCACTTAACGCCATAAACACTCAGATAACTCGTGGCCTTAACCGTAACCGTCCCTGTGAGAGAACGATTCTAGTAGCGTTGGACTTGTCAAAGGCGTTTGACACCGTCTGCCATTCCACGCTACTAGAAGATATAGAGGCCTCCTCTCTCCCACAGAGGCTCAAACGGTGGTCGGCAAATTATCTAAGTGGTCGACATTCGTCGGTAATGTTCAGAGACAAAACGAGTAAGCAGCGAAAAATAAAACAGGGGGTTCCTCAGGGTGGTGTCCTTTCCCCGCTACTGTTTAACTTTTATATTTCAAAGCTCCCTCAACCACCAGAGGGAGTCTCGATTGTCTCCTATGCCGACGATTGCTCGATTATGGCGACTGGGAATGGAATTGATGACCTGTGTTCGAAAGTAAACGGCTATCTCTCCGAACTTTCTCGCTTCTTCACTGCAAAGTGTCTAGCCCTCTCCCCTACGAAATCCTCCGCGACCCTCTTCACAACCTGGACGAAGGAGGTCAGGCTACCGCTGGGGATTCACGTCGATGACACACCAATTCCGACGGTGAATAACCCCAAAATACTCGGAGTAACTTTCGACAGCCTGCTCTCCTTCTCTGCGCACTCAACCGCTATTGTCAATAAAGTACAGAGCCGCAACAAGGTCCTCAAGTCGCTAGCCGGCAGTACTTGGGGCAAAGACAAAGAAACGTTGCTGGCAACATACAAGGCAATAGGCCGGCCGGTTTTGAACTACGCAGCGCCAGTGTGGTCGCCTGGGACTAGTAGGACGCAGTGGACGAAGCTACAGACCGCACAAAACACCGCACTGAGGACAGCGACGGGATGCCTCCTGATGACGCCTGAACACCACCTGCACGGCGAGGCGCAAATGCTCCCGGTAAAGGAGCACAATATAATGCTCTGCAAGCAGTTCCTGATCGGGACCCACAGAAGTGGCCACCCGTGCAGACAGCTGCTTGCAGAGGAGCCCTCGCCTAGGCACGTCAGGAGGCATCTATATGAACTAACGGACGAAGTCCAGAGGTTCATTAAGCAACCTCTGGACCCGACAGCCTACAGACAGGCCTTGAGCGGCATTCACAGGGACTCAGTCTCGAGTTATGTAGACTCTAGACCTGTGAATGCCGTTCTAGGCACACCACCCCCGGACATTGACGAGACGGAGCTTCATCTGCCTCGGGAGACGCGCACCACACTTGCACAACTTCGCTCCGGCTACTGCAGCAGGTTAAACTCCTACCTGAGTAGGCTGAATGAGGATGTGCCTAATGAATGTCCGGCATGCGGAGAGACCCCACATGACTCGAAACATCTCTTCGCATGCCCGGCAAACCCGACATCCCTAACGACCGTGTCCTTATGGGCAAACCCCGCAGAAGCTGCACGCTTCCTAGGGTTGCCGTTGGTGGAACTTGACGACAACGACTGAGATACCAACCGATCCGGGCGGGGTTGTTGTAGCCGCTACAACAACAACATTCCCTTCTATGCTGATTGACGCCAATTGGAAATGCCAACTGATACCAAGTCCTTCTCTAACTGGTATTTTTATCCTCTGCCACCACCAACGGCCGCAGCGCTTCTCATAGATTTACAAAAATTTTTTTCTTCTGTTTTTTCTTTGTTAATTTTTCATAAGTTGTTTTTAAATAAAAATTTGTGAACCCGCTCCTGAATTTTGAAAAGTAAAATTGTCATTTTGAGTACATTCACTTATCGGACCTCTCTTTCTTTTTTCAATATTTCGGCACTCTGATGTTGGGGAATGCACTTGGAATGTACTAGCAATATAATTAGAAGTATTACATATAAGGTTACAGGTATTGTCTTCCCAGATAGCGTATATTCAATTCTGCCTTAATTACAAAACATAATTGTTGCCCACGCTTAAAGTTTAAAGGCAAGGGAAAAATTGATATTTTCAAGCACTATGTACACATACATATGGGCTTATTTAAACTAACTTTTTCCCTGAAAACTTATTTAAATTCCAAAAACCGAAGGCCAACTTGAATTAAAAGAACCAGCACTGAAATGCACAAAAATAAAAGTAAAAGAGCACAAATTTCTATGTAAAGCAAAACTCTCTAGGAAGACAATAGGTTTGTTCGTCGAAAATCCAGCGAAAATTATCTCTCGAAATATCAGTTAGTAAGAAAAAATGCTCCGAAATTCTCTCTCACGTAGAGAAACTTGCAAATTTCTATACGAACGCAAAGTGTCCACGGTTGCATTTAAAACATAAGAAATTTGTATAGAATTTTAAAGTTCTTTCAGAGGGACAGAAAACAGGATCTACATGTATATTTCTTGCTAGTCCGACTTTCTTCAACATACGTTTCAATTTCTTTGCCGTACTAACTGTCGCGTTTCCTATATCGACTCTGGTTGAGATTGCGTTATGGGCTGTTTTTGCTTACGCGTAAAAGCGCAAACAGTCAACGACGTAACGTAGACGTAGGTTGACGCAGACAAGATCTACCTTATGGGATTCGCGTCCCTGCAAGAACAGTGACTATCATTTGACAAATCATTTGAGTGGCAAGACTGATAGAGATTTCTGTCACTGGCTACCTACAAGTTTCTATCAAATTCTAACGGGCAGTGTGAAAAATCTGATGTAAACATTTGTGTACAAATTCTTCCGTCTTGCTCCAACTTATGGCCTTTTTTTATGGTCTCTTTTTAACCAACGCAAAATTTGCATATGGGTTAGTAAGATAAATGAGAATGCGTTAGTTTCCATCACACAATTCTTGTAGGGGTGTTAACGAAAACTCACCACCGCATGGCGGTGACGTTGCCGTTGTTTCTCTCTCTATCAACAGTAAATTTTGTATTCTGCTACGTACGTCAACATACGTTTACGCTACGTCGTTGACTAATTGCGCTTTAAAAGCACATTTAGCTCTAAATACTCTAATGCAGCGTTTTTGCTGCATTTAAAATGCAACATTTAGCACTTTCGAACATATGTTTTCGAAGAGCGTTCATGCTATAGCATTTAGCAAATGTACATTTACGCGAGTTCGAAATCGTATGCTTTTGACAAACAGCCGTGTTCCAGTCTCTTATTTAGATGCGTATATATTACGATCAATTCTCACGCAGAAGATAATGTGCAAAAACCATACTGAAAAGGAAAAAATAAATTTTAAACCAAAAATTCAATACAAAAACTTGAATTGTTTTAACCATAACCGAACATTTGTTTGTGTATATATTCATTTGTCGGTGCTGTCAATTAAAATTTCCTCACTTAATTAGGAAACAAACCAAACAGAGTTGATCACAAATTGATCCAGATTTCTATCAGCATCAAATCGATGTTGACTTTGCTTAACTTTTCTTTATCCAAATATGTAATGCAAAATAAAAGAATACTCGATCGGCGATCACTGAAACGCAGCTAGCAACTGTATACTCGAAAAAGCAATGTTGCCACTTTTTCCCTTTAAACCATGTTCGAATCGTGGAAATTTTGGAAGATCACAGGGTTGCTTTTAGCATTTAGATTCTTAATGCAAAAATAGAGTTTAGACTAGCATTTAGAGCTAAATGCGCTAAATGTGCTTTTACGCGTAAGCAAAAACAGCCTATAATAACAGTAGCTACACACGACGAGCATATCCGCGCACATATGCGCCAACATGCTGGCTGTCGTTTGCTACAAACGGCGAGCGGCTCATAAGTGATTTTGTACTCGAAGCGTAAACATGGAAAGGAAAGACGCGGATGATGCAATTGAAATACTTATGACTTAGGGTTTTTTATGTATGTGTTACTTAAATTTATTTATATTTTACTTATATGTATATACATACATATACATATAGTAATTTAGCTTCATTTATCAAAAATTCAATTTACGAACATGGCTTGGATGCATTTATCCGCGATGTGCACACTGCAAGCATCAACACAAAGTGAGGTTGTTGTTTTTGTTTCCAATGCGATGCTCGCAAACCACGCTACAAACGACGAGCATGCTCGCTGAAAATCAAAATTTTTTGAGTTTTGGCGAGCATGCGCGCAAACCGCCCTACAAACGACGAGAATGACCCGCAAGCCGCGAATGTGCGCGGATATGCTCGCCGTGTGTAGCTACTGTAAATGTACATTTATCCATACAAAATTCGTCACCTAAATGCAACTAAATGCAACTCCATTTTTGCATTAAGAATCTAAATGCTAAAAGCAACCCTCTGATTTTCCAAAATTTCCATGATTCGAACATGGTTTAATGAGAAAAAGTGGCAACATTGCTTTTTCGAGTATACAGTCGCTAGCTGCGTTTCAGTGATCACCGATCGAGATTTCATTTATTATTTTACATTATTTGGATAAAGAAAAGTTAAGCAAATTCAACAACGATGTTAATGCTGATAGAAATCTGGATCAATTTGTGATCAACTCTCTTTGTATTGTTTCCTAATTAAGTGAGGAAATTTTAATTGACAGCACCGACAAATGAATATATACACAAACAAATGCTCGGTAATGGCTGAAACAATTCAAGTTCTTGTATTGAATTTTTGGTTTAAAATTTATTTTTTCCTTTTCAGTAGGGTTTTTGCACATTATCTTCTGCATGAGAGTTGATCGTAATAGATACGGATCTGAATAAGCGACTGGAACACGGCTGTTTGTCAAAAGCATACGATTTTGAACTCGCGTAAATGTACATTTGCTAAATGCGAAAGCGCTAAATGTTGCATTTTTAATGCAGCAAAAACGCTTATTGTATTTTGGGCTCCTTGAAAGGCGAATTTATACATATGTATATGAATTACATATACATTTATAAATTCGCCTTGACTCCTTGTTTCAAAATATGCACATATTTATGGGAGCTCGGCAACTCGATAGCTAGCAAAACACGTTTACTTTTCCGTGGTGAATTTCTGAATGGAATTTCGGAAATGGCGTATCTTCGTTAACCTGGAAGTATGGAACGAATACGATTTCGACGAGTCGAGTAGAGTCCGACGTGGTGAGCGGTCGTGTGGTTTTTCGAGCTCGCGACTATCACATATTTTTGTGACAAAAAATCTTATAAAAAAACAAAAAAAAAATAAAAATAATTAAAAAACCAACAAAAAAATTGCAAAAGTAGCAAAAATCGAGCGAGTGTAAAAAAACGTAAGTAAATATCAAATATAATATACAAAGTGAAATTCCATTATGGCGTGGCGATTGATAGCAAGAAGCAAAAAAAAATGGCCGCTTGCGTATACACGAGGCATTTCATGCGACGTGGACAATGTTGAATCATGGATGGCTTTGGATAACTTAAAAATAAGACCAAAATTGTAGAAAACAGTGTTTTTTTTTAGAATATTATTGGCCATTATTTTTTTGTAATGGAATTTCCAAGTAAAAGATGAGGTCCTTGTTCATTGTTTCTGTCGCAGGGCCGTGGTGAAACGTTTGCTCAATAGAGTTGCCAATTCAATTTAAGTATAAAATGTAGGAAATTCTTTCACTTGTAAGCATATACACATGTATTTATATATGTACATATACGAACTAATCCAGCCAAATTATTTGTACTTTTTCTTTGCAGTTCTTTTAAGTTTTTCCTTTGCGTACATTTTTCTCTTAAATATATCATATATCGAAGAGAACGACTAGAAGAAAATCGAGTTCTCTCCAGTAGTCATGAATTCTGGCGGACCAAATTATCAAATGGCGTCCCTTTACGTTGGTGATTTACATCAAGATATAAATGAAGCCGGGCTTTTCGAGAAGTTTTCTACCGCAGGTCCGGTGCTATCCATTCGAGTTTGCCGGGATGTAATTACACGCCGTTCTTTGGGCTACGCTTATGTAAATTTCCAGCAGCCAGCCGATGGTGAGTAAATATATTGTTCAAATAGTGCATTAAAGGTGCGGTTTAACGTGGCAATGCAAAAGCTTTTTCTACGCATTTTCCTGTCAAAATGTTAAATCGAAAGTACTGGTGCATTCCAAAACGTCAAAATACAAAGCATCAGTCTCTTATTTCTAAACCTCAGTAGACCGTAATACCATGTTCGGACCGCCATCGAAAACATGTTTTCGTTGCTAAAACTGGTTTTCAACCTAAAACTTGTGTTTTCGTCCATATAAAATCTGTCAAATGAAAACCAGTTTTCGCAGAAAACTACTTGAAAACTCACGTTCCACTGATTCTAATCGGTGTCTTCATTAGTTTTTTAGATATATTTATCGAAGTGAAAGGCACATTTATAATCTTTAATATGCTATTTGGGATTTATTGCCAATTTGGCTGGCCAAATTAAAATATAAATTAAAGATAAAGGTTGCTAATGATAAGAAAATGGTTTTTGTTTTTTTTTTCGTAGCAAAACTGTAACAAAGGAAAGAAATGTCAACGAAAACACTAACAGCCGGTGCGAAAAGCTTACCGCCCACAATCTCACAACTCGTTTTCTTAGTGTTTTCTTTGTCGGTCCGAACATGGTATAAGGGTAGATTACGATAACCTGTGCGACAAATTTAGACTATGCCATTGGAAAGCTGGGCTCCTCCGCTTTCAGGTTCCGGGGCCGGGTTGACTGTGGTGTACATCGAAATGTGTGTGTGTTTTGGCAAAACTGTAACGAATTTTCTCATGTAACTTCACGAGGATGCTAAGAAACAGATATGTTTACATAAATCCTCACTACTTTCACTTTGTTAATACTAGTATTTTGGTAATTTGTTGTTTAAATTGTTGCCCATCCACTAGCAAACTAGGAATTCTGCGTAGTAATCGTAGTATCGACGTCCTTGTTCAGAATTTGTCGGCCCGGTTATCGCAATCGTGCCGACCGTTATGCCAAAAGTACGCAACCTCGGTAAGAAGCTAGACTTTTTGTTGTTGTTGTAGCAGCATACAAATTCCCCAAAGACTTTTTGGGGAGTGTTGCTGGAGTGACAGTCCTTGGCCAGATATAAATCTGGGTCGTTCCGGTTACGTAGACCCGACTGTCGTAGGACTTTTTCTTCAAGTGCGGTTTAGAAATAAAAAGTCTGATGTATTTTGACGTTTTGGAAGCACCCTATTTTCCCGTGTAAAAAGCCAGAAGTACTTATGTATGTGTAATGTTAGGGTTTTATAAAAATTGTAGATCTGGCATTATCATTCAGTTTTCACCACTCGGTAATTGTTCATGGAAATTCCAGTAAATACTGCTGTACGAGCAGTGTTGCCATTTTGTGCTTTTGGAGCTAGACTTAGCTCTTTATTTTTCTGTTTAGCTCCGAAAATTGGGTTTTAGCTCCTAGCTTTTTTAGCTCTTTTCAAATTTATCTAGCACTTTTTTAGCTCCAGAAAGTTTTAGTTGTATTTGGTATATATAAGCCAAAACTTAAACGTTGATAAAATGGAAAATTTCGAGATGCAGTGTATCCACCATAAACTCTTGGATCTAGTTTAAAGAATTCAAAAATTAATTAGAATAAAATCCTTTTCTGATAGCGCGGATTTTGTTTACCTTACTAATTTTACCTGTAAGGAGAGCTAATGCTCAGCTCAACCTTAAAAAAAATATGAAGCTCTTCATTTTAGCTACTATTAGTATTATTTAGCTCTTTTTAGCTCTTTTTTCGACCGTTTTAGCTCCAAACGAAATGTTTCTCTGGAAACACTACGAGAAATATTGCACCAGTGCACGGATTTCCCCACTTTGTTGGTAGATCTCCCAACTTTTTAGATATATTATATTTTCTACCATTTTTACCAACAGAGGCTAAAAATTTACCGATATTTTCCGGAAAGAAAGGAAAGAGATCGCAGTTTAATGTATGTATGTATGTCCATATTTTGTCATCGGACTCATTTTAAATAAAAATGAAGGTTAATTCTGAACATAACCAATTTTAAAATGAAATTGCTTCCCTATCAGCTTTTTATGTAAATATTTTCCATTGCCAAACGAATGGGTTGCAAACTTCAAACATTTCAAATCTAATTTGAATAAAAAAAATTTCTAGTGGTGAGAAATTGTTTTAGCCTCCTTTAAACTAATACAGGGCCCGTGTTTGAATAAAATTCGATTCGATACTTGAGATCAAGGCATGATACAATAATTTTTAGAAGGTAGTTTCACTTCTTATCCGCCGTGTTAGCTATCTGACAGAAAACGTGTTTCGTATTTTTTTGTTGTACCAACTTTTTCAAAAAAATAAAATTCAGCTTTTGACGGGAAAAATAAAACAAAGGAAAGCAAAACATATAAGTAGATGAATTTTTTAATATTTTTAAATAATTTTTTTCATAGAAAATTAAGAAAAATTAACTGGTTGCACGTAAAAGATACAGCGATTTCTGTTCTCAAGTTATATACCTGATGACAGTAGGAATGGAAATTATAATAGCGAAGTTTTAGTTTTTTAAACTATAATTTCATTATTTATTATTTTTAATCTATTATGTTAGGAAAATATAGCGCATGGTACTACAAAAATAATGTAATTCAAAGCTTTCAACTTTGTATACGGTTTCTAATAATCGACAAAGTTTCGAAAAGTGGACATCAAAATTTCCAACTTTTTATATAAGGGGTATTCTCTGAGTCTTGCAAAGCCCTTGCATGGTGCACAGATTGCACGGATTGCACGGTTAAAACCGGTTTTCGTATGGGACAGCTTTGCAAACCGTGCAATCCGTGCACCGTGCACGGGCTTTGCAAGACTCAGAGAATACCCCTATTATATTTTTTCGTTGTTTTTTTTTTATATATATTCCATTTTTGTTACAAAATTTTGTAAGCTGCATGCGACAATTTTGTGGATTTTTTTTCTCCTCGTCGCCACTTATTGTATTTTTGGTAGAAAAACACGTTTTTTTATTCTATTTTTCGATTCAGCAGAACATATGATTATTGTATATGTATATCTACATGGGTGCGTTCCCTTCCATAGTAATCGTACATGAGTGCGTTCACCAAGTAGTAATTAGTATAGGAGCATGTTCACATACAAAGTATATAACAGTGCGTATTCACGCACAACGTATATAACACACGCGACAATTTAAATTCATTGACCCGCCTATAATGAATCCGTACCATGCGCGATAAACGCTTGCATTCTGTTATCCTCTATAACGAACCGATGTTCGTCGTAGCAAATACAAAATTAGCGTAACTGATTTGTTTTGGTTAACGATAAAAAGTGTACAAAAACCAAAGACATTCATAATAATACAACCGTCGGGCGTATGAAAAGAATAATACGAAAACTAATTTCTACGTTACGCTTGCAAGTTGTTATCGTCTATCGTATGTAAATTCATAATAGGGGGGTAAATTTGAAAATTCACAACTCCACCGCGATATGAACTCGCGACCAACGATGCTTGAGTTTGAGGTCTTTTTTGCTGAGCTACTTTCGTATTTTACGAGTAGTGAGCATTTGCACATTTACACAGCAAATTTCAACTGTCCCGCTCTGCATCCGTTTTGCACTAGTTCAGAGATAGTTCTGATATATGTAGTTCGGAACTAGCGCTTTGTCAGACTGTCTAAATTTTACTGCAGGGTTTCTTCATGTATATACATTAGAGTGGTCCAAAAATTTTTTTCTGAGATACGGTTTGGGGCACCTTCCAAAATTTTTCCTCTTGCCGAAAGAGGTGCTGGTACCAAATCTTACGTTTCTAAGTATAAATTTAGAGGATGCTCGTGATGCTCACAATGCACTCTAGAAGTATTGTGTACATATATTACAGGCTAACCTAATATTCGCGGCTTGCGTTTTGGTACGCACGCCGTAGCATTATTTTTATTGCATCACCCGAAATTGACTTGCGTGCGTTTCCATTTGATTTCATTGAGCGAAATGTCAAATCAAAATGTCACGCAGAACTAAAATTGGAAATTGAGTTAGCTTCATACGCACGCCGTTCAATTTCGGTTGGTCCCATACAAGTTTTATTTACATGAGAAATTTTTGACAGTAAAGTGGCGGCGTGCGTGAATATTAGGTTAGCCTGTTAATCAAACAATTGGTTAAGCAACCTAAGATTATATCACAAGCTTCAGTTGTCATGGCAACAGTAGCATTTTTATAAAAATCACCAATATCTTTGCCAGTTTCATAGCGATCCGGTAGCGCATTTCAAGGTCATTGAGCACCCTGTATTGGTTACAGTATATAAGTGAAAGTTGGTATAGATATTACAAATATCAAAAGGCAAAAACTAAGAGGGTGCCCCGTTTTCTAGGATGAATTTTTTCTCCCATACAAAAAGTGGACCACTCTAATATTCATACATATGTACATGTATGCAAATATTTACGTATGTCAATATCGAAATGGAAAATTTAGTCACGTTTGCGAAACAACAAAAACTAAAAACAATAAATAAATGAATTCGTTTCGGGTCGACTTTCACTATTCGACCATAAGTGGTTGCTTTGTCAAATTTTATTTGTCCAGAGTTCAATGGCATCGATAAGTGATTCGTATACGATAACTATGTACATATCGTCGATGTTTTTGCAAAACCGCCCATCGACCAGTTGCAAAACAGCCTAAATCGCCGTTGTGACAAAAATGAGATTTGGTAAGCCTGAACTCCAGGCATCGAGATTTATGCATAAAAATCGTTAAATCGTTATTAAAACAACAGATTTGTAAAATAATAACTAGAGAAAATAATGCCTTCAAAGAATAAACCGTTCTTTCGCTCTCCTGTAAAATTTGACTGCCGTAAGATAGGTGGCTTTGCAATTGGGCGATGGGCGGTTTTGCAAAAACATCGACGATATGTATGTATATGCATTCATTGTAGTACACTGAAGGCCCGATAATTAGAAACGATTTGTCTTTACAAGTTTTGACCATATATTTTTATTTACACAATAATTTTAATTTATTTACTCGGAAAATATAGTTTATGCTACAATGAAAGACATGAATCCAAGTTTCTACCTTTGTTAAAGATGTATAATAATTCGACAAAAAAATTCAAAAATGGTTATTAAAATTTCAAACTTTTTAAATGGATTTCTAGAAAAAATCGGATATGCACTTTTATAGCCCATTCAATTTTAGTATAAAATTTTGCACGTTCCCAACAAACATTTAGGTTAGAGAACGAGGGCTAGAAGACGATTAGAGAAACTGTAGAAATCTAGAGTAATCTCTACAAAAAAGGGGACATATGTATGTGTGTAGTTCTCAATATCGAAAAAAAGTTGCACATCTAATTGTTTTCAAACATTGAATGCTAATTGGTTTCTAGTGTCTATTGTTTTTCTAATCATTCTCTAAAAAAAATTAATCGGCGCGATTTTTGAGCTAGTTGACTTTTACTTCATCAATAAAATTGTATGGGCTATAGAACTGCATTCTCAAGGCTTTTCTAAAAATTCAGATTAAAATGTTGTAATTTTCATGAAAATTTATTGATTTTTTCTAAGCTCTGCATAAAAATTGACAGATTGATTTATAATATTAAAAAAAAAAAGGTTTAAATTTCTTCGGCGGTTAGGGTTTATGGTTTTTGCTGTAACTTGAACTATAATTATGTAATTAAAATTGTTAGCATAAATGTTTTAAACATTTTTTTTTGCCTAGGAAGTTGAGCATTTTCATCGAATAGTAGAAGATCCGAATGAGGGACGACTTTCACCCATCTGTTTAATGAATGAAATCTATTTTGTGCTAGGAAATATTTCGCGAATGGGTTGGCTGAGAACATCCTGGCCAGGATATATTTAATCAAATAATCATTGTTTTTTTTTAATTTTGTGAATTCTGGTGTATATTTTGGTCAAACGCGAATTCTGGTATATGTGTGGGGCATGTTTAGTAATTTAGTTGGCGATTTACTATTGTTCGCTGACTGTACTAAGAATGCTAAATTAAAATTCACTTTACTTACCATGCCATTCTAATTTTTCCTTATTGTTAATGGCATCATTATTAAGTGCACAAAACAATTTGATAAATAAAATAATAAATTTTTTTTTATTAGTAATAAAGAATTGCTTTTTTGAATTTTCAAAAAAAAATATTGTTGATTTTGTATGTATGTTAATTTTTCACATTTCATATAGAATGACGAGATATCTTCTTTTTTCATATCTTACAACAGCCGAACGTGCGTTGGATACAATGAATTTTGATTTGATACGCAATAAACCAATTCGTATCATGTGGTCGCAGCGTGATCCTTCTTTACGTCGTTCAGGTATCGGCAACGTATTCATCAAGAATTTGGACAAGAGTATTGATAATAAGGCTATATATGATACCTTCTCTGCTTTCGGTAACATACTCAGTTGTAAGGTTGCCACTGATGAGAAAGGCAATTCAAAGGGCTATGGTTTCGTACATTTTGAAACCGAAGAGGCAGCCAATACCTCGATTGAAAAGGTGAATGGCATGTTATTGAATGCTAAGAAAGTCTACGTTGGCAAATTCATCCCACGTAAGGAACGCGAGAAGGAGTTGGGTGAGAAAGCCAAATTGTTCACAAATGTGTATGTAAAGAACTTTGGCGAAGATTTCGACGACGACAAATTGAAGGAACTCTTTGAACCATTCGGAAAGATTACCAGCTACAAGGTAAGATGCCTTATATAGAAAAGATATGTACCTACATACATATTTGTAAGCATACGTAAATTGTGCACAGCTTATTACCCATTGGTCGCTTGGTTTACTTGTCAAACGATTA